CTTCTAACAAGGTAAAGTTCTATTCTTTGCTTTAATAACTATTCAATTTATTTATTTATTTAATTTTTTAAACAAATTTTGTATCATTTTTTTTAAAACATAGTTCTAGCTCATTAATGTTTGTATTATAATAGTACGTTTTCACAAATTTATGAGTTGCAATTTTGATTGCCAACATAATTTCCTCCTTTTACTGCAATTGATTTGTGATACATACGTAATCTTAATCATTTTCAATAATAATAATTGCTTGTTATTAAATTGTAATTATCATGCTGTTTTTTTGGGAAAACGTTCTTAATATAACTACTTAATAAATTGCTCGTTATGTTTCTGTAAACTATAACTTATAATTTAATTTATATTATTTAATTTATGTAATTTTAAAAATTCATGTGAGGTTGTTTACTCAAATTTCAAATTGTTTCTTTTGAAACTACATAATATACTAAGTCTGGTAACAAACAACAATAGTATAATTTCTGTTATTTAATAGATATTACTAATTAAAATCATTATTAATATATCACTTATAAAGATTTTGATTTAAGTAAACAATGCTTTTCTATGATAAACTGATGTTTAAATATTATTCGTTTTCTGCCCAGTGATGTCCAATAATGTAAACAGTGTGCCTGTTGCACATTTCTAGACTTCCAATGCTTTCAGATTACCCAAGACGCCTGTAAACTTTTGTAAGTTGTACTATGCAAATTCATTTATCTAAAGAGATTTTTGTTAAATGTTTGCACATATTGCACAGTACAATATTGTTGTGGTGGGATTTACTAAATATAATATTAAATCACTAAAATGTTAAAATAATATTTTGTCTTATATATTGGTAACTATAATAACAATTTAATAACAATTAAAGCTTTTTCAATAATAGTTTTTGAAAAAAATGTATGGCGTTATCGAATAAATGGTGCAACAAACAGACAGAACTTTTTGTACTTTTTAATTATTTTTTAAACAGATTTGAATATTGTGATTTAATTATATAAAAACATAGTTTTTTTTCACTTTAATTATACTTGTGTTTTTTTTCACGGCAGTGGCCAGTTTTTGCTTGATAAATGTGTCACTTATTGGGATCACTGAATTAATTTTAATTGTCTTATGATTTTTTTACCATTTGTAATGCAATTGCACAAGAAATTATTATGTAAAAACTCAGTTTCCAGTTTTCCTTCTCGAGAATTGCTCAATGAAAATCATAACATTTATTATTAAGTATTGGTTATTGGAAATAATTGTAACTATTATGAAAAATGTAAATATATCAATTTTTCATTATGCCTGTATAGTATCAAAAATATTAATATACTATTTAATGTTTAATATATATAATTTATTTTTTACATGTACCCATCCTATGTTATACCAAAATTATAATATGTTTAAATGTATTCTTTTAATTTTTATATTTTGTTATTGTATGTAACTATTATTACTATTATTTATTGTGTATAAATTATGCAGGAAATAAGTAAACTGTAATATTAATATTAGTTTAAAGTAACTTAAGATTTTAAAACGATATATTATTTGTAACTCATTAGTATTTCAATTTAATTCTAGCTTTTAACAGGTGTTGGTTTCACACTAGAAAACCATATAAAAATTAAATTCATATTATTTTTTAAAAATTATTTTAGGATGAAGTAAAAGAAAAAACTGAAGGTAGCCCAATTCTTTCCCATTTAAATGGTTCACCCAAAAAAGCGGTTGGTTTCATTGGTGCCATCAAAATTCCTGTACGTATTCATTGAAATTTTGATTCTTTAAATTCATTTATGATCATGGTTATTTTATTATTTCAGGGTGTAATCGAATTCTCTATGTGTTTGTTCTTTGCAAAACTAGTCAGTTACACTTTCCTATACTGGTTACCAAATTATATTAAGTATTCTTGTAAATAGTCGTTAGTATTTATCTAATACTATGAATGAAATGTGTTATAATTGTAATTTTTTTACAGCTACCTATAGCCCTTCTCAAAGTGCAGATTTATCAACCTTGTTCGATGTTGGAGGTATTTTTGGTGGAATTGCTGCAGGAATATTCAGTGATATGTTTGGAAAAAGTGCATGCACATGTGCAGTTATGTTGTTTTTGGCCATTCCATCTGTAAGTGCAATCCCTAATTTATTTTGACCTACTATTTTGAAGGATAAAATCATTTTGTTTTCAGCTATATGCCTACAATTTGTTGTCTTCGGTCAGTTTATTTGTGAACATTGCCTTATTAGTGGTTGCTGGTGGTCTAGTTAATGGACCATACGCCCTGATTACTACTGCGGTATCCGCTGAATTAGGAACCCATAGCTCTTTAAAAGGAAATTCCAAAGCATTATCTACTGTTACATCTATTATTGATGGCACTGGATCAATAGGTATATTCAAAAATATTTTTAGCTATTTCGTGTTTTATATTGGCATGTGACCAAATTATTGATTTGTTTTTCTTTAAAATTAGGGGCAGCTGTTGGACCTCTTCTAGCTGCTTATATATCCAACCATTTTGGTTGGACTAGTGTTTTTTATATGCTTATGGGTTCCAATGTACTTGCAATATTGGTAAGTTTATTTAATTATTACGTTAGGATCATTATGATCATAGTCAGCTAGCATAGTTATTTTTGTAAAAAGTATCCATATAAATGTAGAGACCAGATTTTTATGTTATTACCTATTTTTTCTAAGGCTATTCAATTTCATTTGGGCGAGGTTTCTAAACGTTTCTTGCTACAACAAATATATGAAATTTTACTTTGCATAAATATGCATAATTAGATGTTAGATAATATTTTGTACATAATGACATATTTTAAAAATATTTATACTATTTTAACAATAAATAATAGAATATTTATAATATAATAGTAAATAGAGTGTCGAATTTTTTATTACGTTTCAATACACACAGTGGGCTAAAATTAGTACAAATTGAAAAAAATTGAATTACAATAAAAAATCTTTTTTTATTTTTATTAATAGTTTATATTTAACATACAAAAACAAAATTACATTTTTTAACTTTTAATTACAAATAACTATTTAATACATATCATTTAGAATTCATTTTTTGTATGTGTTACATTTTGTATCTTTTATTATTTTATTCCGATGCAGAATAATCGTCCATTTTAGAGTTGAAAGAACTTTTCGTTTTAGAATCATTTATGCTTCTTAAGTTGATCAAATTTTGAGATTTATGCTATAGCTTTTTTTTTATTATTTTGAGTTTTCTGCCTACAACTTGAAATAAATAGATCAGAAGAAATTAAAAGATTATTCAATAAATTATACATAATGTTTTTTCTTGTATTTGATGTTCTATACCTTTTCATATATTTTTGGTGAGCATCTTGTGCATCTTCTGATAATAATTGTAATATTGGTAATTAATAATAATGCAACTTTTATAATATCCAAACCAAGTATCACGACCTCATGAATAGAAGTCAGCAAGTAAAACCATCAGTATTTTGTTGTAAATAACCATTTCTTTTGCATATATACTAAATTTTTCATGATATACTATCGCATGTCCACATGATAAAACTTGAAGAAATATAGCTTATCTGTATACTATACATATGCTATTATTTTGTCTTAAATTGTATCCATTTGATTGATTTATTAGAAAACATGTTTGTTCAAGTATTTTTAATTGTTTATTTTGATTGTGTTACAGTTTTTTTTGAATTTGTAATACATAAAAAAGTGGTTTGAAATTTTTATTCTTTTAGTTCTATTGTTTAAGATTTAAGTTTTCACTTAAATCATAATACATATTACTATTAATAAAAGTAAAAGCATATTTAAGGTAAAGAATATTAAGAGAATATTTTTACTTCATAAATACATCTTATACGATCATTTATCAAAAAATATTATAATCCTATAGGCTATAATATAAATGCAAATATTTTGTTCCCCTTAACACTGTATAGTATTTTGTGAACATGCATAGTAACAGTGGCAAAAAGAAAATGGTCTTATTATTTAATAATAATTTTAGTAGGCAAATGGTAATAGTAATACGAAGTAGTAGGGTGGGTTAGTAGTTGCTCAATTTCAGGTGCTATGGGCTATTTTAGGTTCGTTTCGCCAAAGCTTAGTAGTTTCCATAAAATCATTTTTTTCTGATTTCTGATTTTATGCTAATGTTTTAACTAATATTTGAAAAATTATTATTTTCCAGTTGCTTACACGACTGGTCAAGCGAGAACTCCAGAATGTTGGCTAGCTCCAAAATACCCTACAACTGATAAGACTTATATGAAGAATGAAACATATTAGTTTGTAAAATGTCCTTGCTATCATGCAATTGGTTAAAAGAAAAAGAAATACACAAGAATTAACTTTTTGTATGGTTGTAATGTATATTTTAGCTCCTAAGTAATATTTATTTGTATTAATATTAAGTTCTTCGTTCCATTTTTATCTCTTAGAGATTTAAAATAGTTTCAATTTTATTATTATTATAACTTTTTCTTTTTTTACACTAGTGTATTTTTCTTTGTTTAATATTTTGTTTCTCCCAATGATTAACATTATTTTTTTTAAAAAAAATTTATCATAATCGATTGAATGACAAGACAATATCATCTATACAACTTAACTTTTTTATATACTATACGTTGTGATCTGTGATCTTGTAACATTATGTATACTGCTCACTGGTATGATATCTAGATACCATTATAGTTATTTAGAGTTGTGCTTTGTATGACATATCGTTGGATTGTTTAAAATTCTATTGACGTAATTCCGTGTTTAAAAATGGAAAATATTTTATTTTTATTTTTTAAAAAACCAACAAAAAGACTGCGGTTATTAATTATTATTATTGGTGTCTTTTAATGATGCCCTGAAAATTATTATCTTATATCAATAGTAGGTATTTTATTAATATATTATATGGTGTATATATATATATGTGTGTGTGTATATATATGTATAACTTTTTTTTACATATTGTAATGATATGATCGATAAAATTAATTTTATTACTAAAAATTATACTATGCATACCATAAAGTTATAGAATATTACATCAATTGTTGTGTAACACTAAAAAAAAAATTAAATGTTCGATTACTTAATACTATTCATGTAACATAACGTAATATTTGTAGTTAATATTATACAAAAAATAAAATCTTGTTTCTGATCACTTCGATTTGAGGACATGTATTACCATCCCGATAAACGCGCATTGTGCCATCCTATGCATCCAATAAAATCTGAAATGAAACAAAATTTTGATATTTTAATAGTATATTTTTTTAGCAGACTGAGTTTAGTTTTTATGTGATTGTAAAAACATAAAACATTTTCTTCAATTATACCTTTGGAGTTTGCTCAACGCTTGAGGGATGGTCGATGGTGGATCTTTGAGTACATAGTTACGTATGCCAAACACATAGTCCTTGACATATGTGTCCCACACCACTTGAGTGATGTCCACGGGAAATGTATGACGGTCGACAAACGAGATGTCTTTGTTGAGCTCCTGGATATTCTTGCTGATAAAATCCCACTGGTGAAGTGCAAAAAATTCTCCGGTTCGTGCTGCCATTTTGAAACGTCTATAAATTTTCAACATCCTGTGAAACAACACACGTTGTATTAGACACCACATTTAATATTGTCAGCATCACTCGGAGACAACCCTACATTCTTATGCTGAAAAATACTTATTTCAATGCTTATTTATAAATCTTTGGCATAAAAAAATGAGATGAAATTTACCACATTTCTGTAATCTATATATATTATTGGTGTATTAGGTTTAATGCTTACTCGTATATAACTAATTGCCAGCTTTAGCCAAAAAAAGCTATGGTTAAAACATGATTAGAGCATATAAAAGTCTAAGTATACTTTAAAATTGATACATTTTTCATAAATATCATTGGATTCGTCAAGTAGGTATTAAAACTATATTAAAATTAATACGATTTGACAATGAAAAAACTAGTTAGTGAAATTATTCATACTCCTCGAAGCCAATCACAATTAAAAATTCAAACACTGTCACTGATTCATTTTAAACTCTAATTTTATATATTATAAAATATTATTATATTTTATTGACCCATATTTATAGATTTTGGCAAATCCAACAAATGTGTATTCATTTCAATATATGGATGCATTTTAAAGTTTAAAATGTAATCCAATTAATCTTTATTTTAAATTTTTATCATAGTTTATTTTCCCAACACTGGTTTAAGGCTTTAAGCTTAATAGTGTACAATTTGTGTTGTGAATATAGCTTTTATGTGATGGCTTGTATATTGGTTATGAATGTCAAAGCTTAACAGTGAATTTGGGTAGAAAAATGTTGAAAATGGTCAACATTTTATCACATAAATAGTAACCCAATGGAATAGCATTTATTGAGGCGTTTAGGATAGGCAATTCTTTCTGCATAAACATTGATTCAATGTGTTTAATGACATAACTACATTAGTGCTAATAGAATAATACATAGGTATAGAGTGGCAATAAACATAATACCTACAGTATTAATATGAAGGATTATGCCCGTGTCAGGGGATGCATTATTTTGAAACTATTTTTCGACAGTTCACGAATGTTAATAATAATTTCAACTGAGTTGTGTGTGAAATTATACGATGAGCAGTATACATTTAGAAACGGTTTTCAAATCTTTAACTTCATTTTTACAAATTAGGTATTATAATTTTATATCTTAAAATATCTAATATAGTAATAAGATTATAATATAATATTATGATCGGCATGGTCAGTGGTAACTCAAAGCTGGGCCTTAACTAGTTAGAAAGTTACCATTTTGTTAACTTTCTAACTTGTTATTTTTCAGTTTATCAGAAACCAAACACAATATGTATATTCCTTTGAATTTGTTATTTAACGTTTTAATTTTAGATGCTCATGTCGAAAGTTTATTGATTAGTGCTGGATGCTGCACGCTGGTGATATATTATTTAATGAAAAACGTTGTTCGATGAGTGACAAAAACCTTAAAATATCATTAACAATCAAATTTAATCCAGGTATATGTATCTAAAAAAGTTTGTCTTGATAAACTTTTCATTATTTGTATTGATTTATTAACTTTAAACTGACTCTTTTTAAAGAAAATATACTTTTAAGTGCCAGTAATTCTATATAGATAAAGGTTTTTGACAGTGACCCGATTTTAAGGTTACAATGGTAGCTAGTAAAACCATAGTGGAGAAATCGTGTAAAACTTATCCATAAGTTGTGACTTGTGACACACAATTTCTCTTCTATTAGCTAAACATTTTTTATGTAAGTTAGTTGGTCCTCGGAACAAAATTATGGCGAGGATAGGGCACCGTCAGCGTTGGACGACTAAAAAATCGTTAAATTCGATATGATTTCAAATTGTAATATTTTGATATGCAACAATACTAATAGTTACTAATATAATTTTTAATTTTAATCTTTAAAGCTTAAGTATAAGGTATTTTTTTTTTTATAAAAGTGCTGAAATTGTAAGACACCTAATAGAGTAATAACCAGTAACATTTTATTTTATATCAGCTATGTTTATCATCTAAACTATAGCTTAGTTTTTATTTGCTTTACTTGAACATTCAGGACATAGACTTTAAATCGTATTTTATACAGCCGACTTCGCTTTAAGACTTTGAGCTGAACGATTTACAATCGTCAATTTTGATAATTTCGTTGTGTGTCCAGTAGATACATTTTATTCCCAACTGCCAACCTTGTTCTATAACCCTTAACTTGTTCTTTGTTTGTATTAATGTGTAGTAGTATGCTGATTCTGATTTGAACAGAATGCATTATTAAGGCGTAATAGATGTATATATATATTAACACGAGTCATCGGTTTTGTTAATAATTATTATAGTGTTTGGTCATAAGTTGAAAATTTGAAAATTTAATAAATACACATTCAAATTGGTACCTACTTTACGTTGTTTACATATCCCCCCCTTCCCGCCCGAAAAAACACCATTATTTTTAAGTACTCGACGTTTGCATTTATTTTAATAGTAAATTACAATATAAGTATAATATCCTAAAGTATTCTTAGTGCCTAATAAAACCAATAGTACATACTTTCCTCAGAAAAGTTTTTCGTACCTATGCAGTGATCTATTATTGAATTCAAAAATTGAACACATACCTACCTATAGTACGTTACAAAGTGACTTAATTGATCACGACAGGTAGGTACACCATTCAGTGATGGCTTGAGCTTTTTTCCTATGAAAGAACTACTGTAAATAAGTACCCACCCATCAATTTTTTTACACTTTACGCTTTACTTTTCACACATTTTATACACAGTCCGTATGTGACCGTGTGAGTATAAATTATGAGTTATAGTCTAGCCGTCTAGGTCCTGAAGACTGAGTCATTGGGCACCCACCTCCCACTTTTGTTCGAGGCTATCACCTAGAAAAATAGCTGTTTAAGCTGCCTCTGGGTACACGTACACTCGGCGCCCAAGTATATTGCGTGCTGCAGCAGAGCGGTCTACTTTCTCACTATTTTTTTTTTAAGTTTTAAAAAATGTTCCCGGGCTTGTCGTGACCCGTTTTCGGCAATCACGACGTTGTATTATTATTATTATTATTATTATTATTATGGACGACTTCGTAGAGTTATAACTGCAATGACACTCACATGGGCTTAGAGCCGGTGAGCCGCAGCACGATGTCCAGCACGAATGCTGGAACGAAGTGGAAGAGGATCTCGCACAGCCTGTGCACCATGCGGTTAGTACGGAACGAGAAGCCCGGATACCACTGCAAGTACTTGGAAGGTGCGGTCAGCGAGTGGTATTGGCAAAGGTTGCCCAGCTCTTCCCAGCGGAGCGGGTTCAGTGCTCCGGAAGTGCAGTTGTACACCCGGACGGCGTTTTGCCTGAAACACGAGACACGTGATTAATGTAGGTTCATATATTATCATATTATCGACCGACAGGTGTCTTATATTATATGAGTAATTAGTAATTACGTATCATAACTTTATAAGCCACGATACATAAACATTAATTATTACAAAATACCGAAATTATATTTCTACAATGTGTGCCTTATACAAAAGTACGTCTAGTCGTCAGTTTTTCGATAGGTGGGTACACATATAATATAAAATATAACAAAGACATAAGGGTCGTGAAATCTGAAATGTAGGATGTCACTACGTTTTTCTCCAAATAAACAAAAAGTATTATTAAATTACTTAATTTGAATTGCAATTTTTTTTATATCATTAAAATTGCTTATATTACACTCCTTAAAACCCTATTAAAAATGTAATGAACATCAATCAATAAAACTAAAAAGTGGTACTATAATTTCAGCTTGGCGTAAAATTGAACATAATTAGAGTACGATCATAATTTAAGGTCCTCTTGATATCAATAAATTATTATCCTGAGATTAATTGATCGGTAACAGTAAAAATTAGTAAATGCAGATATAATATAATATTGTATGCGTGTAATTTGTGTAAATTGTTTACGAAATACCCAAATCACATCATGAATCAAATATTTATATTTATAAAATCATAAAATTGTATTGAATTTAATCTTTAAATATTAGCTTTGGCTGATTAAAAATATTAGATATGGAGGGTAGACAGGGTGCCCCTAACACAAGGTTTGGTTTAACAATAGATATACCAAAACATTTTTCAAACATTTTTTGATAAATAATTTTAATAATTTTTTTGAAAATATGAAGTGGCGAATATTTTACGATTTTTATGGAACTCTTAAAAATCAATTTAAAATGTTATTGTATTAAAATATCTTAGACCTATTATTTCTTTGTTTTTAGTCTGTATCTATATTAGTAACGATGTCATATCCACCCCCTCAACGTGACTCTTCGACGTGAGTTTCTGGTACAGTGATGCGAACGATTATTTTATAGTTATTAATTAATAATAATTTATCATAGATAAAAGCCGCACGAAACGTTTTGCAGCTATGTAGTGATTTTATATATCATACCATCATGGTGCAGGGAGGATAATGATTTTGAAACACTGTCACCGAAAGCACTTATAATGGATGGACGCTTCTAGAAAACATGGTATATATAAATATTATATTTTAATATTATATTACCGACGCTGGACTGCCGCATGCCGTGCTTTTATCGGGGAACAAAATATTGTTTGTTTAATATACTAATATATACGTACAATGACAGGGGACCACTACAACTCACTATACATGTGTTTGGGAACTCTCGTCGTAGGTGAAACCTCTATATAGATGTGTTGATTATATCTTGGGCCGACTTAGGTTCATATTTCTATTAAGATTTAAGTTTTTAATATAATATGGACATGTTTTTATATATCTAGTAATAAGATGATGTTTGTTTGGACGATTATTTTCGATGTGTATTAAGTAATCTATATCATATACGAAATAAGAGAAACCCAGTCGAGCCTAATATGAAACTGAAAGCTGCTAGAGGAGGTCGATACATTTTTAGAAGAAATTATTGTAAACATCGAGACAATTTAAATCTATATGCGGTGACTATTGTCCATACGGTATCTAAATGGCAGTTATGTTAATGTTGATACCAAATCAAAGATTTACCGTGTTCATCATATTATAGTAAGAGATGTTTAATTTTAAACTTTAAATAACGTTTTAATCCAATTTATACTATGCGCCCGACTAAATTGCAAAGTGAACGCTAAAAAAACACCTGTAACTTGAGATAACTTAAAACGGTTATAGTGTGAAAAAACTTCATAGGCTTAAGTTTCATAAAACTTTTTATACCCGCTTATTTATTTTAATGATGTAGAATATTTTATAGAATTAAAAACTAGAAAGCAAAAAGCCTTAGGAAATCAACATAATATACAAAGTAAATATATTCATACAAACCACTAGGTACCTACTATTGAAAAATAAAGATTTTCAATCCCTTCTATAATCCTTACTTCAATCCTAAATTAGTCAATATTATAGGGAAATATTACTAATAATTCATTAGCAATTTAATCTCTGAAAACTCAAAAAACTCAGATGATAATGAAGACTATTTTATTATTTATTTAGTGCCTACTTTAGAAGTACTTAATATTTTTATTTATTAGGTATCTTGTTTGTCAAACAGTTTTAAAATTATAGAATGAAAACATTTTTTATTTCATTTTCATTGTAATTTTTGGTACAATACTCGTTTATCAGTCATGTACACATTTTTTGTACAATTTTATTTAACCATTAAATTCTAATAAAATAAAGTAAAAGTTATTTAATTGTAAAAATAAGTCTAAGAAAGTAATAAAATAAATTGACATAGTCAACATTCAAAAGTACGATTTATTTATTTCGTTATCATTTTAATTTTTTTAAATGGGCACATTTTAAAATTCAATTTCGACTTAGATGCAAAATACCAACTCTGTATACTGCAAAGAACAGAATACAGCTGTGACTTCGAATCAAACAGTGCGTTACTCTGACACGACGAACTAGTTTTTTTCTCAATTTTCGCTAGAGTCGCTTTAGACCAACTACTTATTAATTATTAATATTCTGAGTTTTATTTTGTATTTTACCTGTATGTGGCCGTGTGCCAGGCAGACGTTATTAGCGTGTTCACTAGAATATCGACAGGTATGATGTCCACACGGAGCTTCTGGTCGCACACGATGCTCCTGATTGTGCCCCGTCCTATCTCCATCATAATGCCTGTGATGCCACTCATGTTGTCTACCCACCCTTCGAACGGCTCTTTCCAAGCAGCGGTCACTTTGAACATAATTTTAAAATAACGCCGTCATCTTTGTTGCATAATATTGTCGCAGTACACTTTAAGCCGACGTTTCTTTAAACTCTATTAATACACTTATCACAATCGAAAAAGGATAATATTTTTTAGAAAATTACAAATCTGTTTTTGAATAACACAAATAGTAATTATTTCACTATTTAAGGAACCAAAAAGTTTTAACAGCTGCCAATTTTTTGTCATTGTTAATAATTATACTCTTTTTGACAAACGGATAAGTCATACATATGTTGACTTCAAAATTTAAATTGTGAAACTTATTATACGTTCAAATACCTATAGAATAATGATATGTCCTAGCTGTTGCGAATCTGCAAAACGAAAAGGATGTTTTGTATACCTAATAAACACACCGTGGATGATGGCATTTTGTACCGACTAGGACATTATAATGCATAAATATTCGATGTTCTCTGTAGGTGTGTTTTTAATGATTATTAAAAAGCCTTGCTACTGCCGTCAATTTTAGTTTGAAAGTTTTGACAAAATTAAAGTAAGTTTAAATTGTCTGATTTCAACTCTGAAAAAAATGTAAATTTAGCAGAAAAATGCCAACAGATTGCACGGAACACTGAAAAAATGTAATCTATTTAATTGAAAACTTAAAAATATGGATTTTATTAAATGAAAATTAAACTAGAAATTAAAAATAGAAAGTGTTTCCAACAATGTATAGACATTTTCCAGCTGAATTCAAATCTTTTTTTTAGAATTAAAATCAGACAACATTAAGTAACTTTAATTTTATCAAAACGAGAAGTACCTATAAATTACCGTAAAATTCGTATATCTAGTGAATTTTATACTTTAATAGAGTTATTTACATGTGGATGGGAGTGGCTTTCATCGGTACCCACATGCAACCCCGCTCACGCCAATAATCATTTACGACTAATTGACAAACAAAATATAAATCTTGGGCCGCGACGAAGGGATTAGAAATTGCCTATTTTTGTCCCTTAAATAAGTGCTTAGTGTGGCCCCAACTACGTCCGATAATCATAACAGTTTTCCAACGTGATTGAAAATTAGGTTGTCGTACACGTGACTACTTGAGTGTGGCAGGGATATAGCTGGTCAAGGGCGTTTTTCAGTCGTTGAAGGCGTTCAACTCGGTGGGAGTGTGTCTTTTTGCGTACAGATATAGTTTTTGATGTTTAGTAGTAAATATTATAACTTCTTAATTTTTTCATATTTATCAATTTAGTCTTCTAATTAGTTAGTAACCACGAACAAATTACTGGATGATTGTCAAATCATTAGTAATAAATTCATTTATTAGTTATACACTAATACAATTAAATGTATAGGTACCTACAGGCTACTTAAAAATAGAGCATTATTTAGTAGGCTGCAGGTAGGTAATAATATACCAATCTGTACAAATTATATACATCATATATTATTTTCATCGCTGTATATAATATTCTATAGTATTAACTATTTTTAAAGGTTGAAAATTCGCTCCCTCCATAAAATAAAAGGACGCCCCTGACACAACTAGGTACCTGTATAATAATACATAACACATTATGTCGAGCATCACGCACGATCTATAATTCATACCTATGCTGGGCCTGACGATTGCCGCTGGTATGTCGTCCGCTTGTTCGGCGACCACCCACTCGGCCATTGCTTTGGTCATGGTATACGTGTTCGGATGGTTACCCTGCATCCGTCGACCCATCTCCCGTAGGTCATCCTCGGACATCTTCTGACAGCAGTTGATCACGAAACCAGGGTCGGCAGGCGGCTTGTACACTGATTCTTGGATCGTCATCTTGTCTGCGTTCGAGTACGCCGTCGACACGTGAATCATAGCCTGCGACCACAATTATATTATAGGCGTGTAGTATGTATAGGTATTATAATTTTATTATTATTAAAAAGCATATTATAACGTAAATCAATTAAGCCCCATTAGTCTCTACTGCAGGTTTTCGTGGATTCGTGTGATGTCGTTGGTACTTGGTCGGTTATTTTTTCAAACTCTACTACCTAGTCAAAGAATCTATTGTAACAATGTGACTATTTTCAGTTGGTTAGTTTGAAAAATTATACTTATAATTAAAATTATTAAATATAAATATAAATATAAATATTTAAAATTAAAATAATACTTATATATTATGCCTGTGTATATTGCAGGTAGTTACAATTAATTAGGTAGTTATTAGGTGCCTTAATTAGTATCCTGGACCTTGCAGTGTAAGGGTTACCTACTACTTATCAAAATATGAATTGTTGTTTCTCTCACAAGGTCAATATTAGCCATCAGGTGAAAATATTTTCATTGCTGTTGGGTTAGTTAAGGTTTAGTTCCTATTGTTCACCCCTCACCGACTCCTTTACTATCACTGCGTATTCAAAGTTTAAGCAAATGCAATCGATTGTGACTTATTATGATTATTCAAATATAAATAATAATAATATAATAATATTTTTATAATATTTTTTTTTACTTTAGTGGCAATCATCAAAACCACTCTGCACTTTCAAATATTATACGAAAGCCAAATATGACATCGTTCAATTTCGCACACGTGTATAACAACACCACACGCGCTTTATTTCCAAGACACGCGATCCTTTCAAACGACGGCAATATCAATTTGACGTTTCTCTCATTTTATTGTTTTTCTACTGTTAATATTTAATATATTATTATCAAGTTTAATACTCAGTGGGTAGTAAGTTTTCTACATACACCGCAGGTGTAAGCACAGGGTGTGTCAGGTGTGCCGTGGCCTGTGACTATTTGCACGACTTTTATTCATCCTGGGGCTTTGTTTCATGTTTAAGCTACAAAACAAATATCACGAATAATAACCCACGAGGATGAAGTATGAACAAATTTATATAACCAGTTAAATAAAACAACCGCTAATAGTGATATGCCCAATTCATCACCGCCGTTTGATGTTCGAGTTCGAGCGTAACAGTGACAATATTAATTTTTATTCCAAGGCGTGTATTTCTACTACTAATTAAACTACCTAGGTGTAGAACCTTCCAAAAAAATTGCATTGCAGTGAACCTTCTTTAGGTGCGGAAGCGTAAATCGGATTCATGGGCTCGGCCTTTGCAAACAAAAATTGTTACGGGCGTGGCTTCTTCGACACTAAGGTTTCTATAGTAATAAATAATAATTCATATTATGTTGTCTTATCCAATTGAAAATTTAATTTTTTTATTATTTTTCCGACAAAAACTTAATATTTGACATTGGCGACCGTAACCTTTTTTTTTCATTCGCTCTGTAAACAAGTTTCACTACATTCTCGGGTACTATTGCAACAAGCATTTTATTTTAAGTTGAGTAAAGTAATGATTTCATTCGATATTCTTATGCAGGTGTATTATAATTTAGTATTAAAAAAAATATATTAAAGTATACCTACTTATTTTTTGAATAATAACCTATATATTTTATTGAAATATTTAAAACGTTTTTGTGAAACACAGGTAGGTACAAGAATAAGTATTAACCAATATGAGTTTTTATAAATTTTTTTTCAATGCATATTTTTTATTCTTCTTTTTGTGGGGGGGGGGGGGGGGCTCAGGTTTTTAATTGTCCATTTAAGATAAAGTTGTCCAATTTCTTCATTGCACACCCTATAGCAAATTGCTGCGCAAGCTTATGACTTACACCTTTAATACGCGCGGTATACTTATAATATAATTGTACTTAATATGGTAAACGCTTATTACGGTCTACGTGCTTCACCAAAGTGGCGTGTTTAATGTGGGATGGTAGATGAGGGGTTTCACTCCCAGGAATCATATTATATTCCTATTATACTTGTGTGGAAAAAAAATTGCTAATATACTGATGTTATTGAAAAGGAATTGAAACGAATTGTTCAAAAAAATAAAATAAAAAAGCGGGTAAGTGGATGTCGCTCAGCTGTACATTTGGTATCTACTGTCTAGGTCGCTGTAATGGATGGTATTAAATTTGAATTCAGTGATATGATATCATTTTGTATACAAAAAACGATTCTGAGCGGAGACGGTATGTCAGTCTAGGATATTTTATATTGTTATTACTTATAATTAATAAGGTAGCCGGCAAGTTGAATTAATATTATTCATAATGTTATTCTTAAATTATCAGTGATGCTGGAAAAATATTAAATATACCTACATAAGATTGGGCTTTGGAATCGAATTACAACAAAATGACGAACGTCCATTTTATAAATTTTCAATTACAAAATCATTTTCAATTTTCAATTGATAAACATTGTCAACATTTGAACTTTAAATCCTTATAAAAAAAATTGTTTGTTTTTCCTATCTTTTTTGAAAACTATTGTAAATTTTAAATTTTGACCTCCCGAACGCAAAAACTAGATTCATTTTGCTACCAGAAAAGTTGCTGTTGAAGAAAATCGAAGCACTTTTATACTGTCCCAAACCGTGATGACAGACACACAAAAAAAAAATGAATAAATAAAATATAAAAAAACACACATCATTGTAAAATCAATACATTCATCGCTCCTCTCAGAATCTAAAAAAATATAAAATTTTAATATTTTATGTCTTACAATTCATATAAATTCAAAGTAGAAAATATCAAACAATGGGTATTTAATCACGTTTTTCAAAACACACGTATACTAATGAGTAATGATATTAATAGAAGTCACCGGATTAGTTTGAAAAAAAAATATTTTAAATTTGTTTATGCTGTACGAATTTTGTAGGTACCTACAGGCGTCCTTCAAAAGGCGAAAAACTGCCCAATACGTTAACAAACATACCGAAAAGTAAAGCGATATATATTTATAGCATGATCCATGATGTTATATGGTAGGTATTTGAATATTATATTATACCTAAACGCATACACATTTTTCTTGCCAGGATAATTTAAAATCACGATTTTTTTTACATAGAAAGCTCTTAATTTTAATACATTATAATAATATAATATCATATTATACAGTTTCAAAGTGTACAGATTATAATAAATTATTACATTAGGTACGTTTTTAAGCATTATTACGTTAATGTAATTGTTTGGGCAAACAGAAATAATGAAATCCTAGGGGGGGGGGCATTTTCTCAGTCTTTCTCCCTAGCTCCCCCTCGGTCCCCCGTGATACGGAAACCGATGGTGGCATACGAAATTACCCAGTGCAGGTACTACTACGGTTACGAGTTATAATATACCATTCGGTGGCCAACCACTTTTTATAAATGACATACCGAGAGAACATTTTTCCTTTGCAGTTCGTTTGTACGCCCCTTCGAATGCTGTGTACGTCAGTACAAAACCGATCTATACGTGCGGAAACGGAACTGTTCGTCGCATAAACGCCGCAGGCGTGTAATTCGTGGTAATAATATTGAAAATATAAATACGATGATCGCCGACATGGCTGTTGTAGTGTCGTGATAAAATAATTGAGATCGTCGCCAAGTGAGATTAAATTGTCGATTTTAAGAAATTATGCTGCAGATAGACTTTGAAATCATAAACGAAAGATCGTACTACGATTATAATATTATACATTAGAGAATATTATTATCAAAGTTAAAAAGTTTCTTGCATTCAAGATTTGGCTTTAACTACTCAGTTAATAAGTCAAGTTTATTTTAATGTAGGTGTATACACTCCATGCGCTCATGCATATTAAATATTTAGTTTTTTCGTTATTTTGTTAACTCGCGACTTTAACTTCACTCGTTTTGTTTTATTTCATTTCTCCCGCTTAACGATCACAATATTGTTTCAATCGTCCCAATTGAGTTAATTCAAAAATATGTCAAGAGAAAATTTCACAGAAATATCTGTTTGTTTGCCTCCTGAATAATATGCAAATCACATTGTCGCATGCTACAGATTTTTATTTTATACGAACGCGTTTTCAATCATAATCTGCTTTTTCCTGACCAAAGGTTTAAAACGCATGGTCTGGAGATTCTGACGAACGGTCTAGCCAACGGTTTCGATTCGTTTTCAGTTTTCAGTTTAACCACTAAGTCAACGAAAAAAAAACCAGCCCCGAACAAGTCCTCTCCCGGATACGCACCTTTAACTTTGGCATCGACCGACACAGGTCGACGACGCGTTTCGTGCCCAACGTGTTGAGTGTGACAGCGGTGCGGAGAGTCTCGTTGAACTTGACGGTGGCCGCCGAGTGGAAGACGATTGTCACGTCAGAACACAGCCTTTGCCTGTCCTCGGCGCTCAGGCCCAGGTCGGGGTCGGACACGTCGCCGTTGATGCACACTACTTTCTCGAACGCTTTTTCTGCATCGGCTGTGGACCGAATGCGATCGAACACCTGCTCAAGAAAAACCACACGTCCGGTTAGTACAATATATGTTATCAAGTATGGGTATCCGTGATTATTATTATTGTTGACTTAAAGTTCATAAAAGAAAAATTCAAAATTAATTACATTTCCTACAACATCATTGCCCTGTACACTTTAAAAAAATTGAAAATTACTGTGTTTAATATAACCCGAGTACCTATTCGGAATACTTTTAAAGTGTTCATAACACCATCATCTTTTCCGAGGTCACTGAACTGTCTTTACTCGAAAAGTTCTGTAGATAATAATATTGATTACTTAATTTTTTTATTATTCATTAGTCATTAGTCATTGCACCATATTATTTTGTATTAAAATGTAATTTACATAATAACGTTTGAGGGCTAGGAAACAAATATTTGATAGATATACAATATACATATTATTAAATATTTTATATTCAATTAAATCTGTGCTTTGAAAATTACTTACATTTTATTTTTTTTATATAAATTATAAATGCTCGTATTATAGGTTCTTGAGTTGAAAGCGATGGTTCTAAAGAAGTGCAATGTAAAATCGATTATAAAACTGCGTAAGTACAGCCATTTGACAGTATCTACTGAGTATTAAAAGTTTAACGACGTACAAGTTATAAAAACTACAGTTTAAGCCTACTATACCGGGTGTAATGATAAAGAAAGACCTGACAATTAAAAATTAAAAATTGATACAAGTCAAAAATGTATGAAAGATTATTAGTAATTTAAGATTTATTTATGTGTCTGAAAATTATCAAAAAGAATATTTTGAAAAAAATCATTACGTTTCGTTTTTTGTACCACACAAAGAATGTTTGAAACATTTTGAAAAATAATCGTTTTTACCATCAATATTTTTCTGAAAATAAGATTTATAATTTGGCTATTTTGAATTTATCCCCCCCCCCAAAAAAAAAAATTAAAAATAAAATATGTACCTACTCTGTACTTCGTACATTGTAAGTCTCTATAGTCTATACATTTCACATGGGATTTTTTTTTTAATATTAATTAGAACAAAAATTATTTTGTTTATCAGTTGATTCTGTGACCCCTTGTTAAGGTATAGGTATCTGCGTTGTGACTTGCAAGGGTAAATCTCAAAAAACAATTTTATAGCTGTAATATGCGTAGGAATATAAACCGGTGCTGTATAATATCATGATGTGCTAATGCACAACAGTCAATAAAAATGTTACGAGTTTTCGATTAAAACCAATTAAAGGTATATAGGTATAAAGAATTCGTACCTTGTTTCTCGTAAACATAATATAACATATATGCACCCACCCTTTCGGGGCGGATCCAGAATCTGTGAGTGTGAGGATGGGGGACAAAAGACATAATGTACGCAACACAAATCTATTTTATATTGTGCATTTTTTATATACCTATTATATACCGAGTGATTCATTTGACGTAAGACATTCATGTTTTTGAAAATATTTGTTTTGGGTGTCATGGCTCAAGTTATTACAAAACAACGTTTTTAAATTGCAATAACATACAGTTTTAATTCTATCTCCAAAAAACAGAATAATTTCTTGAGTATTTCGATACATAAAAATCGAATTTAGAATGAATGGTTTTTGAGTTATAAGTATTTTAAATTCAGGTAAGCGGAGTAGTCATCTAAACTTCAAATACTTATAACTCATAAACTACTCGTTTACTACTCTATTATAAAAAATGTTAATATATTTTGGGGCATGAAATTAAAACTGTATCTGTGTTGATATTCAAAAACATTTCTACTTTTTGAAATAATGGGAATTCGTAAAAAAATGATAAAATATCATAAATATTTGTCATAATTTTAAATGTTTCTCATTAAAACACTAGATTATGGATACACCCGGACACCCTGAACTCAGCGAACCAGGAAATAGCACAACCAAAGCGTAGGTGTATGATTTTCCTCATACTTATTTTCAACTTTTAACAATGTTTATAATATAATATAATGATCACAATATGTTTTGAATTTTGTCTAAAGTAGTTGGTCCTGCTGTCATGTATGTTTTGCGTGCTCCGTGCCAGTGTTATTTTATGTTTCGGGGATGGCTTTACGAACATTACAAACTTTACTTAAAACTTTCCACAAACGTGCGTCTGACACCGATCATCAATATGTATGTAATGAACATTAAACATACTCAAGACATGTGGTCTCAAGACGACATGACTTGGTAATACCCGTGTAACAACATATTTTAATATTTTATGCCAAAATGACTCTAACACGTTCTACCTCCTAATCGACTGGTTGTCTAATATTCCTGCTAAATATTAAAATATCTTATCGAGTCCTATATGCATACATAGTGATGCAGGATAATATCGGTATCTCCGTATCGCTATAATTAAGAACATATCGATGGATATCGATGGTGATATAGGTACATTATACAATATCTAGGTTAGGGAAGTCGAATGCGATACAATAAAATAGATATTTTATATTTATTTATATTTTGACAACAAATAAATTTAATGATTTAATCAGATATCGCCAACTAAACAACAAATATAATTTATATTTTATTAGTTTATTTCCACGTATTTTATTTTATTTGTCATTACGTTTTCTGTATTGCGCTGGTAAAATATTAAATGATAAAGTTACAAAAACTTTTTATTACGAGCTTAAAAAAAATAGCCAATAAACTTATTTCCAATGTCAAGATATTGATATCGATATAAATGTATGACGCTAAAAAAAATGTAGTTCTCAATCACTAATAAGATAATATTATACAATTGATTATCATATATAGCTAGCCGTTTCACCTCGGATGTCCATTATAGAGCTTCATAATATGTATACAGTGTTCGTCCTTGCCTTGCGTCTAATGGGCATTTTACACCCTCTGTCCACCGTATAATAATAATGCGTCGGTCGGTCTGGAGTCTGGAATATACCAAAATGACGCCACTGCTATTTGAGACTAATATATACATTATACACACAATAACAGTGATGCGATCGGATTACGTGCACTCGCGCCCTAATAATATACAGTGATAATATATATATAGTCGGTTCCCCCACCCACGCCTCCATTTTTCAGTGGAAAGTTATGAGTCTGAAAAACTACAAGTTTCTATATTCCACTGATACCTATCTATTGTGTCTCATATATAGTGTTTATAGAAAACACGCAGCGGTAGCTGGGAGCGGTGGTTAAAAGAACTATTTTGGCGGTGTTTTTAGTCGTCTAGCCTTTATTGATTTAATGCCCACGTCTGTTTTCTGCAGTGTTGAATATTATACAGTGCTATTTTAAACCTAACTACAACTTAACACCGTCGTAGACAGCCACGTGTCGATTTATCGTGGTGGGTGACGACACGGAGCTTCTATAATTTACACATACATATATATATATGTCTTTAAAACATAGCCTAGTAACGGTAGAAATCTTTTGTATTACCTACCTAATCATTGCTAAAGTTGTGGTTATGGCGGTCAAATACAAAACCCGTTGTACCCACCACGGGAGTAAACAAGGAATGGTGTCGAGCCTGTGGAATTAGTGGCCAATCGGGGAGTGTTCTCGGAAATTTTTTTTTTGGGCTTTGGGATTGAGTTTTATAACTGTAAATAGGGCACCTGCTATATAGTGCCAGCAATGAATGAGGTTATCGCGATTATATAGGTATGATAGACGTCCGACAAACTGCAACTGTATAACCTATCATCATATCTACAGATGTTCTAATTATACTTACAAACCTCGTTGGCTTGCACGAATATACCTATGTGGGTTGTGGGTTGTGGGTACACTCACATTACACAAAGATGGTAAACAATAATTGGCTCTAAGAAGTCGAAGATGTCGATAGTTGATAAGTGTACACATAGTTATCTGCTTATTAGGTATACCGACTGCAGGTTGGAAATGTCGTGTAAATTGTCGTGTAAATTGTCATTTAATATTTATTTATTTTCAGTGTATGTACAAAAAGTATCTCGGCTTCTATGTCGGAAGGTTGAACATTTTTTTTTTTTTTTTAAACAGCTCGTCCGTCTTATAATTTATCCTGAAAAATCGACAAATTCATTTTCGCCCAGTTTTCTGGCATTAACGCAGAGCACGACAACGTGCATAAAATAGTTATCCAGAATCCACATCGATTTAAAACGTCTACTGACCCTACTGTAATATAGTAATAGGTACATAATATATAATGTCATTAAATATTTATGTGTAGCCTATTTGATTCGCCCATTGTGTGTATTTTATAAATTCATAACCGTTCGCAACGTCCCAAGAAAATGTGATACAACTACCAACGAACCGAGAAGTTTTATTTTGCTGTTCTCTATATTTTTAAGCAATAATAATTATGAGATTATAGTTTTCGAGTACGTTAAAAATATTTTTTATATACAGTATGAGATCGTGTCAACTCATATTATACATTATAATTATACATCTATGAACAATACAGTGAAGCCCCCATACTACTTAGTCTCGTGGGCAACAAAAAAAATCGTATTATAAAGAACTTTATAAAATTAAATAAAATAAATTTGGTTCTAATTTGGTTTGGTTCTTAAAAATATCTCGCCAAACAGAAAATATTGCTAAATGGAAATTCGTTACATGAAAGTTATTACTAGAGCTAGGATTTTGGTGACTTTTGCATTTTTTCTGTAAGTGCTATATAGTTCTAACCAATAATTAAATTTGTTTCGTGGTATAATAATTTAGAATGTGTAATTTTTATTTTGCATTTTTTTGCATTTTTTACCTCATATTTACAAATACTAGGTTAATTTTGAGTATAAACTAATTTTCATTTATTTTAATATGTGTTGTATAGGTAATCTAAATTAGTACCTAAAATACCCTTACAAAAATAGTACCTTTGGACTTATATCGACGACATACCATAATATTGTCGCTGTTATACCCGTTTGCATTAAAATTATTGTCACCTGTCGGCGAATCGGGAAAATTTAAACTATGTTAATAAAATAATATTAAAAATATTTTAAAAGTGGTATATTTGTCGTCGAATCGGGATTCGTCAAAGTGGGTATGAATTGAAAAAGTAGTATAATTGATTAAAATCGCGAGCCAACTCAAATTTGAATATATTTGTTTAATTTGATTCGTAAAACAGATTTTTTACTTTTTTTGTGTAATACAAAAAATGAATAAATAATAATTAATAATAATATTTATTTTCTAATCACATTTTTTTCGCTCATCTATAAGTACATTTTTTGCAGGTCATTTTTTAAGTTCATTTTTTAGAGTTTCGATGTAATTTTTGCACTCTTTTTAGTCCATTTTTGTGTATTTTTTAGGTCATTAAAATCCTATTTCTAGTAATTACACTGTATATATTCATTATTCATCTTTGGACGACGACGTAGGTATACTTCAATTTGCGTATATAAGTATAATATAATATCGGATCTTAGCTATTATAGACCCACTGCAGGCTACGTAGGTGCAATGGCATTATGCAGTAGAACTGTCCACCGATAAAAAAATACAATTTTCAATAAATAATATAATAAATTATTATACTAGGTCAACTCGATAACGGAAATTTAATTTGGTCGGTATTTACGGCACGCGCGTGTAATTATAGTGGACACGAGAAAGTCTAAATGAGAGTACCCTCTAAGTACGTGTACCTAATAGATAAAATATATTATATATATATTTGTACGGTGTTGGTGGCGTATTGTAAAACTATAAATTTTAGTTTGTACTTAATTCACAGTATAAGTACTTATGTGAAATAATACAACAGTTTTCGTTTCCAGTCTCAAATTGCAATAACTGCAATGGTTTAAAATAATAATAACTCTATAATATTATGATAACATATGCAGACAACAAAGAAACGGCTAATGAATGAAATTAATATTTATGATAGGTATGATGATATAATGTAGAGTTGTCGAAGTGACATTGCTGAGTTGTGAGTTCAAATTTAGAAATTTATCGTAGAGAAGTTTTAATGAAATTTTTCCTCAATGACATAACAAATGTTATGTCGAATTTGTGATGTTTAGGTACCTATTATATTGGTAATGTACTAGTTACCTAGTGTATAGCCATATAAGTACCGTGTGCCATGAGTTAAGTACAAATTAAATATTAATATTGAAAGTTCACTTGCGTAATGTGTCGAAAGTCAAAACGTACCTACGTTATCCTGCATTAGCTGTATGTCCCATAACACGTAACAACGAGTGAAAATTTTTTTCATTGACACGTCAATTCATGATAAAAATGTCTAATCCGCGAGAGCAACGTAATTTATCAATGGACAATTTTTTTTTTTAAACGAATTATTAAAAGTATATTCTATAATCAATGACAATTTAACAGATTCTTGATTTTTTGCTGTTTGACAGTTACCTATTTGTCGATTATAATATTAAATGCATTTATTATGTTTTGTATATTATTTTTTTAATGGAAAAGTAGTATTTCTGATATTATATAGAACAGAAATATTTATTTAACATTGACATAGGGGTGTGGTTATGTGAATTGTCTTCTTTATTTAATACAATCTAAGATCTTTTCATACGATTCGGTTAACTGTCCGCTTAAGTGCTGTTTCCGACGGTGCCGTTTCCAGCGTATGTTGAACTCGAATATCTTAGAAAATAAATGTTTATGGCTTACGTAAGTGATAAATACATATTTATCATTTTATCAGTGACAAAGATGCCAACAATGGTATGTTAAGTTTGAACATGACCAAACACCAAATTTTACTAGAGGGATGTTTTAAATTATACATTTTCTAAAACATTTAGAGTGATAATTTGTTTTTAAATTTTTTTTTTCATTCCCTACAATTATATATTTTTAAATTCCAACAAGAAAGTAAAATGATTTTGTTGAATGAAAACTGGTCTTGTGTAAATATTTCTATTTCCCCATCAGTAGGTAAGGTTAATTTGTTTTTCATTTTCCTTAATTATTGTGGAAAGTACTGAGAAATTTTTATTTTTGACCTCCATAAAAATACTAATTAAATCCAAGTTGCTGATTAAAACCTCTCTCAAATAGTTAAAGGCTTTTACTGCTCAAGAAATACACAAAACAACTATGAAAAATAAAGTGTAATAAGTTATAAGTATTATAATAGTATATTATGTATTTAAATTGTTATGCTTTAAAATGCTCATAAATCGCATTAAAATCAAAACATGAATAAAATCTTACGAGGCGTCCTAGATAATATTCTTACTGGAGGTTTGATAAAACAAGTCAATCAATTAAAATTTTTAATTTAAAAACACAAAACTGCGGGTCCTGCGGTGCGCCTCAAATATTTGCCACGTGGGCCGGAGAGACACCAAAGAGGAAAAACAAAAAGTGCGTGTACTATCTGATTAATTTCGGGGCGAACCAAATTTTGCTCACCGGATTTTCCAACAGCTCCTGGAAACGGCACTCTATGTCCTTGCCCCGCTTGGGCCTGATCAGCAGGTAAATGTTCTTCAGGCCCGGACACGACCTGAGCAGCTTCTCGATCAGCGCCTTGCCCACGAACCCCGTGCCGCCGGTGACGAACACCGACGCGCCGTCGTAGAAGTCGACCACTTGTCCTTTGGCGGGGGGCGCGTTCCAGTCCTGGCAACCGAGGTCGTTGTTGTTGTCGGCCATCGTCGTAATCGAAAAACCACCGAGATGACGTGTATTCGACGAGATATATGCGGTGGATCACTGCAGACGTGCTCGGTGTAATGGCTGACCCTGTTCTGTGACCTCTGCTGTCAAGCCCTGCTGACGACCGCTGAACGACGGGACATCGTGTGCCGATATTCGTATGTATAATATGACGCTCTGCAACGATAGAAATTCGGAAAATTAATAATTTAAAAGTGCGACGACTGCGCGTACGGCTGTATAATATATTATAAGACATTTCTATTCGGCGGTCGAAAATTAAATAGAACACACGTGAGTGGGTGGGTGGGGGGGGAGGGGGTAACAAGAGGAGACGTTGTGCATTATAACCACGGTCTTGGATTCACAATGGACTGGCGTCGTCATCGTGACAAGGGGGGTGGAAGAGAGTGGTTGGCATAAATGTATCTTCCCCTTCTACCGTACTTGACTATTTAATTGTATCTCTTGTAATTAAAAATACCGAACTGTTGTAGTGATCGCTGTGCAGGACACGGCGATCGGCACTACAGTTATTATTTAAAGTTTAAACAATAACATTGTGGTACCGTTCGTTGCAATCTTGAGACGTGTTCCCGAAAGATAAGTAATAAATAAGTTAAACACAATATAGGTAATCTTTAATTTTAAAACAAAATGTAGAATATTTTATCCGTTTAATTTAAACGTCAAAATAACTAAAGCGTAAGCTCACTAGATCTTTGACTGGTGCTGACTATATCCTCTAAGTAATGCTAAGTGCCCTACCCGTAATTTATCTATGTATATATATATATACGTATATGGGTTCCAATATTAAAGGTTAATATTTGCTCTAGGCTTCCGGTTATTTAGGCTTTGCGCGTATTCCACGGATTGGCTGTTAATAACCTACCTACATTGTATATATATATATCATAAATTATACTAAATGCATAATTTATTACCTATAGTATATTGAAATTCATAAAATAACTATTATACTGGGTTTTGGGTTTACTACTCTATCAACTCGCCTGGCGGCGGTAGTTTCACTTTTGTGAACTAATTTTTTTTTAATTTCACAACTACTGAGAATATAGTTTTGCGAAAATCTGTGAAAATGTTCGATTCTTCATTTTTATCTTTTAACACATTTTGTACAATTAAACTATATGTACGTTTTTTTGGTTTGACCTTTTTTTTTGTTTTGAGGTTGAGCAGGAATATAGTACCTAATCATATTACTCGAACACGGTCTTTAATTACGTTGGCATACATACATGTCTGTACTCAAATATTGTAACTGAATTAAATGCGTTCGCAGATTTAAATTATTCAATTACGTATTTACACTTATTAGACTAATTTTCTTCGCGCGAAAATATGTAATTCGTAAAGAAAAACATATACTATCGCGTAGACAGCATAAAATATAATATTATATTGCAAGTACTATGATATAGTTAGGTGCACATATTTTTGAAAATATTAATCGTGTCCTGAATGGTTATGTTTTTTTTTATCGATCTCTCCGTTGAGCTCCTTTCACGGCCACTAGTATTTAGAATCGTGGGAACTGCGTTTAGTGTGATTGCTAGTATGATTTGATGATATAATTTATTATCTATCATTATTGGTCCCGATCGCATATGCCTTATGATCTATGTATACTTTCGAGTGGTTTCGTATTTGCGGACAATAATTCGTCTACAGAATTTCGTGATTTTACCGCCGCGATTCGATTGCTTCCAAATCGGAAATTCTCTTTAGTAAATATAATATGGTATTGCACCAACACGATGTGATTATTTTCGTGGGTGTTTCAAAGCTCTAAGTGTGGCCTTTAGAGCGTCGCCAATAAGTGCCGATGATTTAACTCTCCGACAACAATTGACGGTGGATTTGACGTGAGCCCACACCTACCGTTTATTTCGCACAACGAGCTGTCAACTAAAAAAAAAACTATAATACGGAAAATTTCAACTACTTTAGTCTCTTTATTTTGTTCGCATAATATTATAACACAATATCATTTACAGGTAGAAAAATAATTATTATTTGTCGTGTTCCGACGGTGCCGCACTGCCGCAAGACACGCGTTTTCAAATTCGGTCCGGTCCCGCATGGACTTCCGGTCATTCGTACCCATTGAACCTGAAATCCAATTTTCCGTCAAATCTAATATTTTGGAATGTTTCCCGTTCGACATGTCGTCTTCGCGTGTTAAGTGTGTTCCAGTGTAGCTGTCAGCCGTGAAATCATTGACCTTGTTCCATAATCTGGTTAGTTGCGCCGCTGCTACAACAACACTACTCAACGAGTTTTTAGCGCTGGATATGGTTGTACGATAATTCGGGACTTTGACCTACAGACTGATATTGTAAAGTTGGTCTTGTTTTTTCGAACGACCGTTCGAGATTCACGTCCACCAGTTTCGTAATATTACAATCAGCATTGAATCACTGTTTCAAATGTTTGTGATATTTGTATACAAGCTAGTTAGTTTCGTTACACGTCTTCGCACAAAGTCGGTTTGATTGTGCTGTTGGGTATAATACGATAACAGTGCATTTACAGTCATTGTGCGATACGTTTATAACGGTCGATATTTGGCGTGGGTACTGAGAAAAGAGTGAAGACCGATATGGACTATAACTAACTAAATTGAGCGTACTTCGTGTGTTACAAAGTTATTCCATACGTTTACAACACGCAAAACTGTTTGCGTGTTGTTCACGAATCACTGATTTTTATTTCGCGAAGTTATCTTGCTCGGAAGAATGTGCTCCGAGATTGAGCAAGAGTACGATGGTAATATTAAATTCGTACGATTCTTATAGCTACCCATAAAATGTATTAATGTTATAATATCCGAAACGTTCACTAAATTGAATTATCAAATCATACGTACCTATCTTACGTCATGTAAGGATTTTATAAGATCAATTTTAATTACATAAATTGTAATATTTGCAAACAGCAACGTGATATATCACATTAATTAATTAATTTAAACGCTCTAACGGATATTCGACAGTAGCCTAGCTGGTACTCGTCGCGATGATGGAAAGTGTTCTCGAGTATAATTATATTGTGCGCCGATATCGACCGGACCGTGCGTATCTTAAACGTAGTTAGATACGCTTGTTAGGTGTTGATATAAGTTCAAATATTATTACGTGACCCTTATAATATATGTATATATTATAGACTCTGGTTATAAAAGAAGATCAAAGTTATGAAATATTATTATTTATTACATTTACCTAACAATTATTATCAATCACTGTAAAAGGGAATTAAATTAAATTATATTAAAACCTTTCATGTCCATAACTCGGAAGTAAAATAATTAATTATTGCCATTCGTCATAATATTATCAATTATGTATAATTGAATTATGTTAAAAGTAGAATAAATGTACGAATGAAGTTAAAGTATTATTATATTAATCAATCCGGCCCAGGCACACGGCCGGTCTACCCGGGAGCCCTTGGAGGTTTTTTCAATATTGGGGACCCATGGCCAAATGGGAAAATGTATATTTAAATCACTTGTGAGTCTTGAGTGGGAAATTTCAAATTCTTTTTGAACAAACGACAACGTCAGCTGGTTTATTCAACACACTCTGCATTCTGCATAGCATTCAAATACGTTCTTATACTTCAGTGGACAAAAGTTAAGTGTGAACGAATATTTTAAAAACTAAACTTAGACCTTCGATAAGCTAACAATATCTGCAACTTTAATTTTGTCTGTTTGTTAAATAAGACATCATTTAACTTATAAACAAAGATGAAAATTATTATTATGTTAAGATCTTCCATTCTTCCGGTATATTTATTGAATTTTTTTCTATTTTATTTGTATACAAATTATATTTAAAAAAAGTAGAACTAGTTGCTTATAATTTTTTCCAAATAATTAAAAATAAAATTATTTTAAGACAATGTATTAAAAACTTAAAGGCAGTTCAATTTTTTTTTAAAGTTTGAATGGACGTAGTGGTCCATTAAAAATTACTGGCTAATTACCTATTACTTAATTTAAAAGTAAGAATATTAATATTTGTGTTCTCTCGGTGGTTTTTTAATGCCAATTTTATTTTTAAAACTAGTTATTAGCACGCAAAATACTAAAACTAAAAAATGCTCACAACTTGCTATACAAAATTAAAATAACAAAAGACACCGAAAACCCTGAACACAGCTCATATTCTTACTTTTGAATTTGACTACAGGTACATTTTCGGTATTATTAAAAGTAATAACGCAATATACCTAATTGAAACGAAAATTTGTTTCCATGATGTACATTTTTAAGACGGAAACAAGAAAGTATGATGCTCGCTTCAGTGCATCACGTCCTCTTAGCTAATTGAAATTATTATAAATGTATCATCGGGTGGTGTAATAAATACAATTTTAGCTAGTTTTGTTTAAAAAAAAAATGTTAGAACAAAAATAATATCTGCTGAGTTCCGATAGTCCATATTAGAAATATTGATACGGGACTTCATTTAGCCTTACGAACCTGCACGAATATCCTTCGAAATGCACCATATAACAATCAATGTCGCAATAATGTAGGTACCCTATATAATTTTATTGATCGACATCGACACATTTTAAACGTATATTATGTTTATAATGTTTATATCACAGTCCGTGACTGGTTAATTCGATTAAATTATTCTTCAAAATTATTTTTACTGCAAGGGGGCGGAGGTATTAAGATTTCCGGGAAAACATAATGATTCCACGAAAAATTGATATAGTACCTATACCTGTATTTTTTTTTTTTTACTTTCGATTTTGACGTTATTTCAACCGTTACGTTTTTCTCTATTCGTATCAATACATTCCTTTGTCTAACACCTCACGCTTATTGAAACAATATTTTTTATACATCGTGCGCGTATAAGTACTGCGCAAACTCTGGTATTTTGTGAAACGTTGAAATATATGACATGATATTATACATGGGTAATAAACTGATCGACGGATCGATTGCAGTGCAAATTGATAAATCGTTGTCACCGATTATTATACCATGTCGACGGTGGATAACACGGGCCGGGGGGGGGGGAGGGTGCCGTTATCGCGAGAGAAAACCCCTCTGACGTTTGATCGATTATTGTAGTCGTTATATCCGGTTATTTATGAAACTTCGACTACCCTGCAGTCTAACCGAC